TGGCCTCGCGTGCAGAGCATAAAACACAAAACCCTTCCTCAAAGGTAATTTTCAGGAATGAAACCCACAAGAATTGTGTGTCAGGATTCGCTCTTCTGTCATTTGCTGCTGCTAAAAAACTGATTTTTTTGGGGGGGGATAGCTCTGAAGGGCCTGAATCCCAAAAATTGATATGGAAAATCTCAGGGATTTGCAATCAGCTTGGGGGGGAATGGGAATTCTGAGATCGAGTTAGGGCACCATAGAGGTGATCACAAGAGGAAGAGGTAAAATCCTGAGAATTAATGGCATTTTGGGAGAGGCTCCTGCAGGTCAATGGGGAAATGTTATAGGAATAAATAGTTAATAATAAATTATAATTAATGTTACAGGAATAAATAATTTCCTCCACCTGAGCAAGGATGTCCTGCAAGCAGGAATTCAGGGAATTCCAGGTGTAAACCACAGAAATATCTGTGTGAGTGTGAGGGGAATGGAGAATTGTTATAGGAATAAATAATTACTAACAAATAATAATTAATGTTGTAGGAATAAATAATTTCCTCCACCTGAGCAGGGATGTCCTGCAAGCAGGAATTCAGGGAATTCCAGGTGTAAACCACAGAAATATCTGTGTGAGTGTGAGGGGAATGGGGAATCACTCCTGCTTTTGTGTGTGCTGCTTGGATTTCCAAAGGAAAAGTTTCACCTGGGTTTACCTGGCTGGATTACAAAGGAAAATGTCAAAGGGAAAAGTTTCATCTGGGTTTACCTGGCTGGATTTCCAAAGGGAAAAGTTTCACCTGGGTTTACCTGGTTGGATTTCCAAAGGAAAAGATTCACCTGGCTTTACCTGGCCAGATTTCTAAAGGAAAAGTTTCACCTGGGCTTACCTGGCCAGATTTCCAAAGGAAAATGCTGAAGGGAAAAGTTTCATCCCTGGTTTACCTGGTTGGATTTCCAAAGGAAAATGCTGAAGGGAAAAGTTTCACCTGGGTTTACCTGGCCATGTGTTGCTTTGTTCTTCTAAGTTCTTCCAAGCCTTCTGATGTTTACATTCTTGTAAGGAACTTTCTCACGCATTTTTATGTAAATAATTATTCTTTTGCATTCTTTTCTGGAGGAGGAGAAATTCAATGCTCTGTTGGTTTGTCCAGTGGCATTGGAGGGGTGGCTCTTTCACCCTCCACTGTCACTTTTGAAAGTTTATGAATGTGGGAGTCAGAAATTAAACTTCCCTTCTTTTTACCTTGGAAATTCCAGTGTTGTTGCTATAGGACACGGAAGAACACAAGCTCACACTGCTGCTCTCAAGGTGAAGAAAAATTGAAGTTTATTTTCTGACTCTAACATTTATAGATTTCCAAGAGTGGCAGTGGATTGGAGGGTGACAGTGCCGCCTCTCCAATGACACTGGACAGACCAAGAGCCCATCAAATTTCTCTTCTTTTATAAAAGAATGCAAAACAATGAGTTATTTGCAGAAAGTGTGTGAGAAAGTTCACTGCAAGAATGTCAACATCAGAAAGCTTAGAAAATCTTAAAAAAACAGGGGCTGGCATAATGTCTGCATCAATTTATTTCGTGCCCTATGCGAGAGGTTTTCATGGGGACGGAGCCACTGCCAGCCCCAAAATCTCCCTGACACCCCAAAAAACCCAGACCCCACATTCCAGCCACAACCTGCCAGGAGAAATCCAGCCTGGGCTTTGTGGGGCTGGGATTTCCTCCTCCGTGCCTTGCCCTAAATAGCAAATTCAGTGGAATAATTCAGGGTCACCAGGAGTTCTCCAGCTGGGGGATCCTCACGGCTGCAGCTCCCCCTCCACTCCAGGGCCGCTGGAGCCGTGGTGGCAACACGGGAGTTCCCGTGCTCCAAAATCTGACAACATTTTTGTTCTTTCCTACAAAACTCGGACTGAGTGAAGCCTGCAGGGACCTAGGTTGACAAGATGGAAATTGGCATCAGCTTTAGGGAGTGAAACACTGGAAGCTGTGATGGGGTTTTGTTGTGAGGCTGAAAGCGCTGCAGTCGTTTGAGGGTGGCTGGGGGAGTGTTTGCACACCCAGAGCTGCGTGCTGAGGGACGGCTCCCAGGATTTAATAGAAATAAAAGAATGCCCCCCAGGATTTAATAGAAATTAAAGAATGCCCCCCAGGATTTAATAGAAATAAAAGAATGCCCCCCAGGATTTAATAGAAATAAAACAATGTCCCCAGGATTTAATAGAAATTAAAGAACGTTCTCATTCTTCTGTCACCTCCTAGACATGGGAATGTGGTGTTTGTCAGGGTCCCCAGGGCGAGGTGAGAGATGAGAATCTGACTCCATGTTCTCAGAAGGCTGATATATTATATTATATTATATTATATTATATTATATTATATTATATTATATTATATTATATTATATTATATTATATTATATTATATTATATTATAATTATGTATTTTATATAAAATTATAAAATTAATCATTATTATATAAAAATATATTATATTATATTATATTATATTATATTATATTATATTATATTATACTACATTACATTATACTACATTACATTATATTATACTACATTACATTGTACTACATTACATTATACTACATTCCATTCCATTATATTATATTATATTACATTACATTACTTTACATTATATTATATTGTAGAATGCTATACTAAAACTGTACTAAAGAAAGAGAAAGGATACATCAGAAAACTTAACAAGGATAAATAATAAAAACTCGTGACTGAGACTCCTCAGAGTCCAACACAGCTGATGGTGATTGGCCATTAATTAAAAACAATTCACATGGAACCAATCAAGCATTCGCCTGCTGCTAAACAGTGTCCAAGCCACATCCCAAAGCAGCCAAACACAGGAGAAGCAAATCAGACAATTCTTGTTTTCATTCCTCTCTGAGGCTTCTCAGCTTCCCAGGAGAGCAATTCCTGAGCAAAGAGGATTTTCCAGAGAATATCCTGGTGACCCTTTAGGGGTTCAGTTTTCCTTCACAGCACCACAGCCTCCCTCTCGTCTGCCTTAATTTCCTTGCTCTGGGTTCCATCCCAGCTCCTCGTGCCGTTCCCTCCTGGCTCTCTCCATCCCCACATGTCTCCTGTTCTCCCCCTGTGCTCTCCGCTCTCCCTGCAGGAATCAATCCTTTCTCACCCACATTTTGTCGCTTCCCCCCTGAATTTCCGCCAAAAACCGATAAAGTGCTGAAATGAATTCAGCGCTGCCGGAGATCAATGGGAATTTCCTGGGTTTGACAGCAGCAACGAGGGTTGGACAGGGTGGGAGCTGTTCCAAAGGCAAAGCCTCTGCTCCAGGGCCTCTGGAATTTGGGAATTGAGGGACCTGGGAGCTGCTCCAAAGGCAAAGCCTCTGCTCCAGGGCCTCTGGAATTTGGGAATTGAGGGACCTGGCAGCTGTTCCAAAGGCAAAGCCTCTGCTCCAGGGCCTCTGGAATTTGGGAACTGAGGGACCCGGGAGCTGTTCCAAAGGCAAAGCCTCTGCTTCAGGGCCTCTGGAATTTGGGAACTGAGGGACCTGGGAGCTGCTCCAAAGGCAAAGCCTCTGCTCCAGGGCCTCTGGAATTTGGGAACTGAGGGACCTGGGAGCTGTTCCAAAGGCAAAGCCTCTGCTCCAGGGCCTCTGGAATTTGGGAATTGAGGGACCTGGGGATTGAGCCCCTGATGGCAGCTGAGGATGTGGAGAAATGCTGAAAACTTCTCATTCACATTCATTCATCCTGCAGCTTCTGAACCCTCAGGTCCCCGCCTGTTTTCTGGTGGTTTTGGTGCTGGTTTGTGGCATTTGGCAGCCCTTACACTTCAATTATTTGATTTTTTTTCTTCCGTGTGTGTGTGTGTCCTTTCAAAGCCCAACCAGGCAGCTCTGCAAGAGCTCCTGGAGTAAAACTGATCCTAAATAAACCTGGAGGAAAAACCCATCCTAAAGAAAAGCCAGAGTAAAACCCATCCTAAAGAAAACCCAGAATAAAACTCATCCTAAATAAAATCCAGAGTAAAACCCATCCTAAAGAAAACCCAGAGTAAAACCGATCCTGAGGAAAACTGATCCTAAAGAAAACCCAGAAGAAAACCGATCCTAAATAAAACCCATACTAAAACCAATCCTAAATAAAACCTGGAGTAAAACCAATCCTGAGGAAAACCAATCCTAAATAAAACCCAGAGGAAAACTGATCCTAAATAAAATCCAGAGTAAAGCTGATCCTAAATAAAATCTGGAGTAAAACCGATCCTAAATAAAACCCAGAGTAAAACTGATCCTAAAGAAAACCCAGAAGAAAACCAATCCTAAATAAAACCTGTACTAAAACCAATCCTAAATAAAACCTGGAGTAAAACCAATCCTGAGGAAAACCAATCCTAAATAAAACCCAGAGGAAAACTGATCCTAAATAAAATCCAGAGTAAAGCTGATCCTAAATAAAATCTGGAGTAAAACCGATCCTAAATAAAACCCAGAGTAAAACTGATCCTAAAGAAAATCCAGAAGAAAACCAATCCTAAATAAAACCTGTTATAAAACCAATCCTAAATAAAACCTGGAGTAAAACCGATCCTGAGGAAAACCAATCCTAAATAAAACCCAGAGGAAAACTGATCCTAAATAAAATCCAGAGTAAAGCTGATCCTAAATAAAATCTGGAGTAAAACCGATCCTAAATAAAACCCAGAGTAAAACTGATCCTAAATAAAATCCAGAGAAAAACCCATCCTGAGGAAAACCAATCCTAAGTAAAACCTGGAGTAAAACCGATCCTAAATAAAACCCAGAGGAAAACTGATCCTAAATAAAATCTGGAGTAAAACCGATCCTAAATAAAACCCGGAGTAAAACCCATCCTGAGGAAAACCAATCCTAAGTAAAACCTGGAGTAAAACCGATCCTAAATAAACCCCAAAGTTGCTTTTTCCCTCCCGCAATAAAACGAGATGCTAGAGAGAACCATGACAAATGGGATTTTTCCTCTGGTTGCCTTTCAGGACATGAGAACAGCGAGGCCCTGCCCGAGTCCCTGCCCTCGGCCCCGGGGACGCTGCCCCATTTCCTGGAGGAGCCCGACGATTCCTACATCATCAAGAGCAACCCCATCGTGCTGCGCTGCAGGGCCGTGCCCGCCATGCAGATCTTCTTCAAGTGCAACGGGGAGTGGGTGCACCAGAACGAGCACGTGTCCCACGAGAGCCTGGACGAGGCCACAGGTGAGCAGGGGCTGCTCCCAGGTGAGCAGGAGCCACTCCTGGGACAGAGTAGCTGACCCCAGGTGAGGAGGAGCTGCTCTCAGGTGAGCAGGAGCTGCTCTCAGGTGAGCAGGAGCTGCTCCTGGGACAGATGAGCTGATCCCAGGTGAGCAGGAGCCACTCCTGGGTGAGCAGGGGCTGCTCTCAGGGGAGGAGGAGCTGCCCCAGGTGAGCAGGAGCCACCCCTGGGTGAACAGGAGCTGCCCCAGGTGAGCAGGGGCTGTCCCCAGGTGAGCAGGGGCTGATCTCAGGTGAGGAGGAGCTGTCCCCAGGTGAGCAGGAGCCGCTCCTGGGACAGATGAGCTGATCCCAGGTGAGCAGGAGCCACTCCTGGGTGAGCAGGGGCTGCTCTCAGGGGAGGAGGAGCTGCCCCAGGTGAGCAGGAGCCACCCCTGGGTGAACAGGAGCTGCCCCAGGTGAGCAGGAGCTGCTCTCAGGTGAGCAGGGGCTGATCTCAGGTGAGCAGGAACCACCCCTGGGTGAACAGGAGGTGCCCCAGGTGAGCAGGAGCCGCTCCTGGGACAGAGTAGCTGCTCCCAGGTGAGCAGGAGCTGCCCCAGGTGAGCAAGAGCTGCCCCCAGGTGAGCAGGAACCACTCCTGGGTGAGCAGGAGCTGCCCCAGGTGAGCAGGAGCTGCTCTCAGGTGAGCAGGGGCTGCTCTCAGGTGAGCAGGAACCACCCCTGGGTGAACAGGAGGTGCCCCAGGTGAGCAGGAGCCGCTCCTGGGACAGAGTAGCTGACCCCAGGTGAGCAGGAGGTGCTCCCAGGTGAGCAGGAACCGCCACTGGGTGAGCAGAAGGTGCCCCAGGTGAGCAGGAGCTGCCCTGAAGTGAGCAGGAGCTGCCGCAGGTGAGCAGGGGCTGCCCCCAGGTGAGCAAGAGCTGCTCCTGGGACAAGAGGAGCTGATCCCAGGTGAGCAGGGGCTGCTCCCAGGTGAGCAGGAGCTGCCCTGAAGTGAGCAGGAGCCACTCCTGGGTGAGCAAGAGGTGCTCCCAGGTGAGCAGGAGCTGCTCCTGGGACAGAGGATCTGACCCCAGGTGAGCAGGAGCTGCCCCAGGTGAGCAGGAACCACTCCTGGGTGAACAGGAGGTGCCCCAGGTGAGCAGGAGCCGCTCCTGGGACAGAGTAGCTGCTCCCAGGTGAGCAGGAGCTGCCCCAGGTGAGCAAGAGCTGCCCCCAGGTGAGCAGGAACCACTCCTAGGACAGAGTAGCTGATCCTAATTGAGCAGGAGCCACTCCTGGGTGAGCAAGAGGTGCCCCCAGGTGAGCAGGAGCTGCTCCTGGGACAGAGTAGCTGATCCCACGTGAGTAGAAGCTGCCCCCAGGTGAGCAGGAGCTGTCCCCAGGTGAGCCTGAGCTGCTCCTGGGACAGAGGAGCTGATCCCAGGTGAGCAGGAGCCACTCCTGGGTGAGCAAGAGGTGCCCCCAGGTGAGCAGGGGCTGCTCTCAGGTGAGCAGGAGCCACTCCTGGGACAGAGGAGCTGATCCTAGGTGAGCAGAAGCTGCCCCCAGGTGAGCAGGACGTGCCCCCAAGTGAGCAGGAACCACCCCTGGGTGAGCAGGAGCTGCTCCTGGGACAGAGGATGTGACCCCAGGTGAGCAGGAGCCACTCCTGAGTGAGCAGGAGCTGCCCCAGGTGAGCAGGAGCCACTCCCAGGTGAGCAGGAGCTGCTCCTGGGTGAGTAAGAGGTGCCCCCAGGTGAGCAGGGGCTGCTCTCAGGTGAGCAGGAGCCACTCCTGGGACAGAGTAGCTCATCCTAGGTGAGCAGGAGCCACTCCTGGGTGAGCAAGAGGTGCCCCTAGGTGAGCAGGAGCCATTCCTAGGACAGAAGAGCTGACCCCAGGTGAGCAGGAGCCACTCCTAGGTGAGCAAGAGGTGCCCCCAGGTGAGCAGGGGCTGCTCTCAGGTGAGCAGGAGCCACTCCTGGGACAGAGGAGCTGATCCCAAGTGAGCAGGAGCCACTCCCAGGTGAGCCTGAGCTGCTCCTGGGACAGAGGAGCTGCCCCAGGTGAGGAGCAGCTGGGAACAGGGAAACTCGTTTTTGTCGGATTCCTCCTGGGTTGGAGCCTGGAATTTCCCCCCCACCCCAGTTTTCATGGGATTCCTGCTGGGTTTGTCCCCAGTCCCAGTTTTTATGGGATTCCTGCTGTGTTGGATCCTGGGGTTCCCCCCCTGTCCCAGATTTATGAGATTTTTGTTGGGTTGGAGCCTGGGGCTTCCCCCCAGCCCCAGCTTTTATGGAATTCCTGATGCGTTGGACCCCAGAGTTTGCCCCCAGCCCCAGTTTTGTGGGATTCCTGCTGGGTTTGCCCCCAGCCCCAGTTCTTATGAGATTTTTGTTGGATTGGACCCTGGGGTTTCCCCACCACCCCAGCTTTTATGGAATTCCTGCTGAGCTGGATCCTGACATTCCCCCAGTCCCAGTTTTTATGGGATTCCTGCTGGCTTGGACACTGGAGTTTCCCTCCAGCCCCAGTTCCTACGGGATTTTTGTTGGGTTGGACCCTGAGGTTTGCCCCCAGCCCCAGTTTTTGGGGGATTCCTGCTGGGTTTGGCCCCAGCCCCAGTTTTTATGGGATTTTTATTGGGTTGGATGCTGGGGTTTGCCCCCAGTCCCTGTTTTTATGGAATTCCTGCTGGGTTTGTCCCCAGCCCCAGTTTTTATGGGATTTTTATTGGGTTGGACCCTGGGGTTTGCCCCCAGCCCCAGTTTTTGTGGGATTCCTGCTGGGTTTGCCCCCAGTCCCAGTTTTTGGGGGATTCCTGCTGGGTTTGGCCCCAGCCCCAGTTTTTATGGGATTTTTATTGGGTTGGACACTGGGGTTTGCCCCCAGCCCCAGCCAGGGCAGGAATTGAGCTGGGAATAACCTGAGCAGGGAGAAATCCACAGTGCCAAGTGGGTGTGGAAGGGAAGAGAAGGACAAGGGAGAGATTTGGGAGTGATCAGGAGATTTTATCAGCTCCTCTCATTCAGCTGGTAACTATTGCAGAGCAATTTGATGCTGTGGCTCCACAATTCTGGCTGTTATTGCTTTCTCCCCTCTCCCCTCCCAGCATTGCTAGGCAACCCCCAGCCTTGGCAGCAGCGCTCTGTGTACAACACCTTCTCCAGCAACACAAGAAATTCCTTTTTTTAGAGGCAAAAATGCCATTTAAAAAGAAGTTACACCTCTTAAAGTAGTGCTTGGCATTCTTTTGAAGTGACACATTCTGAAGAAGTTTCGTATTAGAAGGGTTTTTTTTTTTTTTTTTGCAAATGCTAATCTGAATGAATTTTAATTTTCGCAGTTACCTTTTCAGAAATAATTTAATAGGCATAACCTTTACTTCTAAAGGCACTGCTGAATCAATATGGGAGAAATGTCGTCCCTAAAAGCTTTCCTTCCATATGGTTACAGAAAATCTCTCTGTGAGTGCTGCAATTATGTTTTCTAAGCTTTGGGTTAATAACAGAACAAACCAAGATTGGTAACACGAGGTGGGGTTTAAATGGCATCAGTAACATTGGGGTTTGAGACACGGAGCAGCAGGGCAGGGTTTGGGCTGGGAGAAAATTCATCTGGGCAGCTCCCCTGTGAAAAACGCCAATCACTTGGGTTTTTAAATTTTAAAAGTTTAATTGTAATAAAATGGTTATAAAAATAGCAATATAGTTAGAGTAAGAAAATTTTGGACAATTTTGATTAGGAGAATACGAGACAATAGAAACAAAGAGTTACAGATGTCTGGGTCTTCCACTTTTGCCCTCTTTTTCTGGGCAAAATAAGCCCAAAAAGGACCCACGTTAACAGAGGATTAACCCTTAAAAGCAACAGCCTGTTGCATATTCATACACTTCATCCATGATGCATAAATTCCATTCAAACACAGGATTCTGTCTGGGCAGTGTCAGCTTCTTCCTCTGAATCCTAACATGAGCAAGGTGGGAAGAAGTTCGTTTCTCCTGATAAGGGAGCAATAAATTCTTTTTCTCTGAAAGATTTAGGTGGCTGCTATCTCACTGTGAGTCCTTTCTTTAAAAAAAGTATCTTACATAGCACAGTTTCTATTTTAACATTATGTTATAACCTAAAACTATATTTAATACATTACTTAAGAGAATTAATACAGCATCACTTTCTAACACAACACATATAATATTCATTTGAATATTTGCGAAAAGCCAATCATAAAATACACATTTTTCACACCCCCTCACCAGAGAAACGCTGCAGGGCTGGAGATGCCCCAAAGCTCTGGACCCAAAACCCACTGCAGGGCAGTGCCCAGGTGGATCCTCAGAGTGCAAAATGCAGAGAGAGGCAGCACTGAGGGGAATTCTGACACCAGGATCCCATCCATAGCCAGGAATTCCTTTCGAACTCTGCCTCAGCTTTCAGAGCAGCAGCTGTTGGGGTTTTTGGCATTCACTTGTCTGGAACCCAAAACCCACTGCAGGGCAGTGTCCAGGTGTTCCCAGAAGGGTCCCCAGGGCACAGAAATGCAGAGAGAGGCAGCACTGAGGGGAATTCTGACAGCAGGATCCCATCAGGGATTCCTCTGGAATTCCTTTGGAACTCTCACTCAGCATCTGGGGACCAGCAGCTGTTGGGGTTTTTGGCATTCACATGTCTGAAGCCCAAAACCCACTGCAGGGCAGTGCCCAGGTGGATCCTCAGAGCACAAAAATGCAGAGAGAGGCAGCACTGAGGGGAATTCTGACACCAGCATCCCATCCATAGCCAGGAATTCCTTTGGAACTCTCACTCAGCCTTCAGAGCAGCAGCTGTTGGGGTTTTTGGCATTGGAACACAAACCCCACTGCAGGGCAGTGTCCTGGTGTTCCCAGAAGGGTCCTCAGGGCACAGAAATGCAGAGAGAGGCAGCACTGAGGGGAATTCTGACAGCAGGATCCCATCCATAGCCAGGAATTCCTTTGGAACTCTCCCTCAGCCTCCAGAGCAGCAGCTGTTGGGGTTTT